GTGGCTGACACCTGTCGACGTCCCCCGAGATCCTGGCGTTGCACTGTTCTCACAGCGGGCTCTTTCGCCTGGTTTCGGGCCCCGGGACCCTCACGGGACGGTCCGGCCCGAACAATGACGCAGGAAGATGTTGTCACATCCCGAGGCCTGGGCCGACTAGGCTGAAGGGGAATTGGAACACACAAATAAATACACACAAATAAAAATATTCCCCATATTTTCCTATATTTTCTGAGTTTTTGTATTCCCCCCCACTGCCCATATTTTCCCATATTTTCTGGGAATCGCCGATTAATTGTGTCTGTGTGTTTTTCCCCCTCCTGATAGGCAGCTTGGTGTATAATTGAGCGACGAAGAGAAGCGGGTCCCACGCACGTTGATGTGGCGACTTTACGGGGTGGCCTGCGCGGGCCGTCAGCGCGGCACGCCACGCTGGAAACGAGGCCTCTTAAGTTACTCGCGAACGTACACGGGACGCTTACGCGCCAATGAGGGTCTAGCCGACCCGTTGTTCTGCGTCGCTCACGTGTGTTGGCGCCAACGTGCGCTTGTCGCCCGAAGCCCTCCATTAGTCACAAAATGCAGAACATCGTCCCCCAGCAATTGTTTGGACTGTCTTTGAATGTTCCTCCTGTACTGGGACACCCCCGACTTAAGTCTGTCTCCGGATCCGTTTGTGGTGACCCTGTAGGCCGCAGGCTGGCTAGAAGCGCTCGGATGGAGAACACACACGTTCGGCGCCGAGCCCAGAGCGCCCTGAACGCAGCAGCTTCTCCAACGGCCGCGGGAAGCCACTGCGCAGCCCGCGTACGTAGCGAGGAAACCCTGGATTAGACGAACAGAGCACGGCTTAAACAGACACTTTGGGCGGTCCGCGCGGATTTCTTGGATCTGAGCTGCAGCCCGCTCCCTGGCGCGCGGGCGCAGGCCAGGGGGCGGCGCTGGAGGCGCCCCCGGGGGGGCCCCAGCGCGGAGCGCCGAGTTGCAGGGAGGAAGGAGGTGGAGGACGAGGAGGAGGACGAGGAGGAGGACGAGGAGGAGGAGGAGGAGGAGGAGGAGGAGGAGGAGGAGGAGGAGAAGCAGGACCCCCTCCCCCTCCAGCATATGGTGGTGGTGGTTGAAGACAGGCCCATCGTTGACGCTCCCGGAAGCCGCGCCGAGAAGCAGGTGGCTTCTTGTCGGCGGCGAGCCCCCGGGGAGAGGTGACAGAGGGCGGGCCGTCTCCGAGGTCCCCCGGCCTCCTGAGGCGTCTGCTTCTGAGCATGCCCCCCGAGGGCGCAGGAGACTCCTCGGGAGGCGCGAGGGCTTCTCGAGGAGCCCCGCCGCCCTCTGGGCAGGCCTTCCCCTTCCCCTCCCCCCCCCCCCCTGGCTCGCCGCCAGGCTAAACTCATTGCACCGGCCTTGCAGACGTGCTGCAGCGGACTTCTGCGTGGATGGTTGCCCAGAGCGGCGAGCGAAGAGCGACGTGGACTTCGCGCGGGCTCCTGGGTGTCTTCACTCCTGGCCGCAGGACGACATGCCGCGCGACATCCACCTCGAAATCCGGCACGAAATTCTCCAGGCCACCCCAGGCCACACCGGAGCGAGGAAACCCTGGATTAGAGGAGGAGGAGGAGGAGGAGGAGGAGGAGGAGGAGGGGAGGAGGAGGAGGAGGGAGGGAGGGAGGAGGAGGAGGAGGAGAGGAGGGAGGAGGAGGGAGGAGGAGGAGGAGGAGGTCCGCGCGGATCTCTTGGATCTGAGCTGCAGCCCAGGCCACCCCACCCTGCCGTTTCCCGAGCGACGTCCGCCCTGCGATGTCGGCGCCACGACAGCCGTGGGAGCCCGGAGGGCCTCCAGCGAGCCCGCCCCTCGAGGCCTCCGGAGGCTCCCCGGGGGGCCTCCCCGCTCCCCAAGGGTGCCCGGGGGGGGCGCCACGGGGATAGGGGCACACACGGGTCTCCTGCGGGGCCCTGCAGGCGGCGACGAGGGGAGACGACGACGACGACGACGACGACGACGACGACGACGACGACGACGACGACGACGACGACGACGACGACGACGACGACGGCGACGGCGACGGCGACGGCGACGGCGACGGCGGCGACGGCGACGACGACGACGACGACGGCGGCGCGGACGACGACGACGGCGGCGGCGGCGGAGACGACGTCAACAGCGGCGACGACGACGGCGGCGTGGCGGCGACGACGCTGGTAGAAGACCACGCCACCGGCTTCGGGATGCCGAGGGGGGGCCGTCCCCCGCGGGAGGAAGCGAGGAGGAGCGGGACGGGAGGGGGGAGAGAGGAAGCGCGGGGGGGGGCAGGGATCGTGGGGGGACGACAAGGTAGGATAGCAAAGGGCAGGGTCGAGAATCAGCTTTGGCTTTCCTGGGGCCTCCTGGCGCCGGGAGGCGCCCATGCATCGGGGAATGGCCCGCGGCGGGGCGGTAACCCCCTTTCCCTATGCTGCACTTGAATCGGGCCCGAAGCACGGGGAGGGCGACGATGGTTGTGGCGGACGGAGAAAGGCGGGCGGGGGGTTAATCAGGGGGAGGGGAGGAGAAGAAGCTCGAGGTCAAAGCATCATCGCACGAGCCGTGCAGGCAGAGGAAACTGCAGAAATGCCAAGGCTAGATATCCGCCCGCGTGGCCTCTGCAGCCAAGGGCGAAACAGATAATTACGCGCATGACTGCTGCATCCATGCTGCAAGGCGGGCGGGGAGGGGACGAGGATGAAAAGGAGGAGGAGGAGGAGGAGGAGGAGGAGGAGGAGGAGGAGACGAAAGCGCCAGTCGATTCGATTGACCCGTTCGCAGCAGTGAGCACCGAGGAGGGGGGGAGGAGGCGGGGGCGGAGGTCGGGGATGGGGATGAGGCGGAGGAAGCAGAGGGCGTTGGAGGGCAAGCGGAGGAAGCCGGAGGAGTCCAGCCGGAAGGCACCCGAAGCTTAGGTCGGGCATGTCAGCCTACAGGCGGATTTTAAACGAAAAATGGAAAATGCCCCAAACGTGCAAAACAAACTTCTCAAAATAGTAGAAAAATCGCCCCCAGACAATATTTGCTACTACTTCTGAGTATTCCTCGAGGGACACGCCCGGCTTCACCCGAAGCCCTGCAGACACCTCCAGGGGGACCCCCCCGCGGGCCTCGGGGGCCCCGCCTTGAAGACCTCCAGATGGGGGGGGGGGGGGGCGACAGGGGGGCGCTGGCTCGGGGAGGGCAGCGTCTCGACCTGCGGCCGGCGACGCATCGCGGACAGATCGGCTACAAACACAATCTTAGGTCGGGCGTGTCCCCCTACATCGGGGGCAGCCAGGGGCGGGGGGCGTCCAAGAAGGGGGGGGGCGCAGATCATGGGGGGGCCGGGGAGGCGCCATGAAATCTGGAGAGCTATCATGGCCCCCGCCATGATATCCCCCCCTGGTCATCACACCCCTTTGCCGCCCCCGACTACAGGCGGATTTTAGACGAAACATAAAACATAGTCACACACGCCACAGCCGCGTCAAGCAATGATCAGCAAAAACCTCAGGAAGCCATTAAGGAACCCCCGGGGTTCTCGCCGAACGGTATAATTAGCACCGCGCAAAAGGAAGGAACATGAATGATTCCCGCGCCCCAGCTCCGGTGGTATCCCAAGTGGAATTGGAAAAGTAATACTAAGAATGAAAATAAGCAGACGCGTCTGCGTTCATGGCAGTTCCTGACGATGTCTCAGGCGAGGCGCTTGTTTCAGAACCACACGGAGACCAGATTTGCGAGAATGCCTCAGGCGGTTTGCTTGTTTCGGCGGGCAGACTCGTCAGCGTTCATAACAGGTTGCCAGGTGCCAGGGTAACGCTTCCAGGGTGCCGAATGCGTTGTACTTTCGCTGGAGAGGGGGTGGGGTTCTTAATTGCTTGCTCGGGTTATTCAAAGATAGTAAAAACATCGTCCCTGGACCATTCTTGGATCAATTTTGCAATCTTCCTCCTGCACAGGGACACGCCCGACCTCACGCGAATCCACGCGCTCCTGGGCGGGGTGGGCCATCGGGCCCCTATCGGCGATCAATGGCCGATTGGGGGGTCGATGTATCCGAGCCTGTCCCCCCTTGTTGGCTTCGGGTCGTACACCTTTAAGAAGGGACCGACCTTCCTGGCAATCCTGTTGACTACCACGACATGCTCTTAGAACCCAAGCATGCTCCAATAACAAAACCAACGTTCTCAGAACAGAAGCCCGATGTGATACTGCAAGGCAGTCCCGGCCAGAAATGGTCCAAGAACATCCCGTGGAAACCACAACAGGTTCTTAGAACATTGTGTGGTAGGCCTATAGGTGACGAACCAACAACACACACCCATACCCATAGGGGGGTCGGAAAGGGCTATGGGTGCGTGTTGTCGGATGGGGGTCCCCGCTCGAACGGGAGCGCTCCCCAGGGTCCGACAAACCGCACCCATACCCATAGCCAGTCCTCCTCCCAACGACCCCCTTATGGGTATGGGTGTGTGTTGTTCGTTCGTCAATAGGCACGCCAGGACGCTTCGCCACTGCTCGACACCCGGGTCCTCGGGCGGCCGCCTCGGGACAGCCCGGGCAGCTCCCCGCAGCGCCCTCGGCGAGGCGCCGCTGCCAGGGAGCAGCCCGAGTCCGGGCCGAATTCAGCCTGGCCTTAGGTCAGGCATGTCCTCCTACAGGCGGACGAAAAAATACGTACAAAAAACTATACAAAAAACACAAGCGTTTTACTTTAAAAACAATGCGTGAAAAACAATATTAACAAAACACAATACTTTAAAACCTAATAGTCAAACCATACTTAAAACAAAGAACAATACATGCTAGAAAGATAGTCTTCGAATATTCCCCCTGTAGAGGGACCTGCCCGACGTGACGCTGGCTGAGTTCCGACCGGCCGGGCTGTTGTTCCAGGCCGAGCTTGGTTGCTGCCTGCGGAGCGGCCTCCAGACGCATCCAGGCGAGGGCCGCCGAGAAAGCCCCGTCCGGCACACGCGGCGGACGGGCCAGGCGCCCGCAGCTGCCGCATCTTCTCCACGAGGCCCTCGATCGCCAGCAGCGACGGGTGGGCCTCCCGCGCAAGTGGGAGGCGTCGGCGGCGGCGGCGACGTCCGACTGCAACCCCCCTTTAAATCTGTCCCCCTCCTGGGGTTCGTCCTGGCTGGTCCTTCGAGCTGCGTCCAGCCGTGGCGGCGACAACCTCGCGAAAAGCGTCAAACTCGGCGCGCATTGACAATAAGGTCGGGCATGTCCTCCCCACAGGCGGATTGTGGACGAAAAATAGAGAATAGTCAAAACATAGTAACAAAACATACTCGAGCCAACGTCGCCAGACTATTGCTGAATTATTTCTGAAGATTCCTCTTGTAGAGGGGCGTGCCCGACTTAAACTCATAGGGGGATGCTCATGGGAGGGGGGCGGATCGGCTGCTGCAGCCTGTTTTTCCGTCGCCTCCCAGCGCCAGAGGCACCTGTGCATCCAGGAAGGTTTCGGCGGCAGGGCCGAAAGCAGCTGCATGCAGCAGCGTTCGAACCCACCCTTCGCCCAGTCCCCGCCCCCCCTTCGCCTGGCGGGCGACACGAAGACCACGACGAAACGCAGACGAAGACGACGGTGACGACGGCGCAAAGGCCTCGAACTCCCCGAGCAGCTCGCGCACACGTGCGAGCAGCGCCGCCAGGGGGGTGGCCAGCTGCAGCAAGATGCCTGGGTTGCTTCGGCCGTAGAAGTCGCAGACCGCCTCCTTGTGCACCTTGTGCCTCGCCCGGGGCCGCATGGGGGCGCCGGCGGGCGGTCGTCTCACGGGCGGTGGGCAGATCGAGCAAAACTCACAGGGTCCAGTTTGCTTTGACCCCAGAGCTCCTGGGTGGGTTGGCCTTTCGTTCTGGGCGGTGCAGTGGTGCTACTTCCTCCTCCTCCTCCTCTTCCTCCTCCTTCTCCTCCTGCTCCTCCCGCTCCTCCTGGCCGCTCCCTCCTCCTGTCTCCTACCTCCTTCTTCATTATACCTCCCGCTTGACTCCTACCCTGCTTTCTTGGGTGCTGCCCACTGCAGATTTGTGTGGGTGCCAATTCCTGAGAGGCCTGCCGAGTGGTGCCTCACGTACGTGAAAACGAAGCCTCGCCCTTCCTGGTAGCTGCCAAGTGCGCAACCGTAGCCGTTTTCGCTGGCTCCTGAGTGGTCCGCCGAGCGATGTGTTACACATGTTCCAAGCAAGACTTCGCCCCGAATGGGTCACATTTGTCTTGGCCGCGCGCAGAAAAGGGGTAAAAGGGGAGGGTGGAAGGCCTCTTAAAAAGGAGGCTGCTTCTTGGAAGGCGCCGGCCTTCCATATGCAGAGCAGGCCCGCACCTCCCAAGAAGCAGGGGTGCGTCTAGGAAGCCTCCCCCCCCGCCCCCTGCCCCTCCGCGCGTGGCTGACTCTTGCCACGCGCGTGAGCTCCTGGATGGCCCAGCGGAGCTGCAGGAGAGCCCAGAATCGGATCGACAAGTCGGATCGGCAGTCGAAATGAATCGGATCGGCGGAAATCGGCAGCCGAATCGGGAAAAGTCGAATCGGCTGAAATTGGCAGGCTAGTATGCCTCCAATAAGAAATCGGAACCCAAATCGGAATCCCAAGTCGAATCGAATCGGAATCGGAAGCCATCGAAGTCGAATCGAATCGAATCGGAGGAATCGAAACGAGCCCTGGCTCTGAGCCTTACGAAGATCCAAACGAGACACCGCAGTCGCTGGAGGCCGCCGAAAACGCGCCCCTGTCGCCGTGCGCATTGGCGCTGGGCGGGCCTGCGGAGGGCGCTCCCATGCAGGAGCCCACGCGTTTTTCTGCCCCTCCGAGGGCGCGTTCGCCGTGTGCTCCTTTCCTCTGCTCGTCGTCGTTCTGCTCTCCGCCCCCGTCTACACCCTGCGAAATGCTTAAGAAATCATGGGTTAAGAAATTCATAGTCTCAGAACTTGAATGAAAACCCAGCATTTCTATCAAACTCTTGGGATTTACATTGAAACATTAAGAATAATCGAGACTCTGGCCGAAAACTTAGGTTTTCTTAAGCATCGCCTGAGGTGTATCTCCAGATCGGTCCATGACCCATGGGGCGCGCAACACCACGTCACCCGTATATGTACGCACGGACCAGATGTATACACGTGTGTATATTCATGTGTGTGGACGTGCCGAATATCATATCGTTCCCTCCTCTGTCGCTCCTTTGAAGTGTTATGAGTGTTGGTAGTCCTCTTCGTATTATTCTTACTCCCGTTCTGCTTCGTCGTCGTCTTCAAAAGACTCTCCCTCTCTCTCTCTCTAAATTATTATCATCCTCTCCTCCTCTCCTGGCCCTCTCGATCCTGCGGCGCCCTCTCGATCCCCCCGAGACCTCCTCCTCCTCCTCCTCCTCCTCCTCCTCCTCGTCTCGCCTCCTCTGTCCTCTTCCTCCTCCTCCTCCTCCTCCCTGGGAGCCCGAAATGTGTTTCTGTTTGTCTGTTCTTTCGTTCCCGCGGCGCCCACCTCTCGCCCCAGAACGAGGCCACGGAAAAGCATGGCAAGCACTGAAAGTTCGAGAAACCTGCCCCGCACAGGAACGAGTAGGAACCAATCTCAGCCTCCAAGGGCGGGGGGAGGATACAACGAAAAAGTTGCACCTCCCCCTCCAGACTGCACGGGACTGCTTGTCGCGGCGGCTCCCCAAAGGCCAGATGCGCTCCCCCACCATGGGCCTGTGGAGCAAAGACGAAGCCAAGGCGAGGGTCAAATCGGGTGAGGAGGTCTCTGGGAACAACGAAAGGCGACACCAACACAAGCAGGGCGAGAAGATGCGAGGAGGCAAGGGGGGTCTCCCTGGTGGTGTGGTCCCCCTCCTCTCGCTCGAGACATCCCCAGCCTCCAGCTCGGGGAGGCGTCGTGGACCTCATCGCTGGAGGTGGCCCCCCTGGTGGTGTTGGTGTCGCTTCTCCGACCTCCGAATCTCGGCGCCGGAGGCTGTCTTTCGGGAGCGGCCAAGAGGGGGCTGTCCAAGAGGGGGGGGGGGTGCAAATCATGACCGGCGGCACGTGCGCGGCCCAGCGGGAGGGCCAGGGACGTAACGAAATAAGACCTACAGGCGCCAGAAAATCGGGGGAGACATCACGGCCCTCGCCATGATCTATCCCCCCCCCTACCCTGACCTTCCAGAGAGCTATTTTTTAGCACTGGAGGCCTAAAAACTTAAAAAAACTGAGCGAAACAGCCTAAAACCAAGACGTAAAATAGCTCTGGGATAGGTTTTTACGTCGGGTGCTATTTTTTAGCCCTCCTGGAAGGTCAGGGTAGTCATCACCCCCCTCTTTGCCGCCCCCGAGCCTCGGGCGCCCAGGCCTTCCCGGAGCGCTCCAGAGCGCCCCAGGACCGGCCCCGCCCGAGCTCCCCCCCGCCCTGGGCCCCTGGGAGGCCCGCCTCCGGCCCCGGAGCCACCCGCGCGGCCGGGGAGGTGGACGGCCTCGGGGGCGCGTGCCACGGGCGAGGCGCGACGAGGGAGGGCCGGGGAGCCCCAGGGAGCCACTCTCAGTCCGGGCATGTCCCCCATGCCAGGCAGATCCTGCAGGAGAATAGTAACAGAGGACCAGCTAATCCTAATCGAACACGGCTTGAGGGGACACAACAAAAAACAACAAAAAAACGTCCCCAGACTATTGCTTGACAGTGTTTGAAGTCTCCTCCTACAGAAGGACACGCCCGATTTAGAGCTACCTGGGCGTTGTGCGCCTGGGAGGGCCCCCGAGGCAGGGCCCGGCCGCCACGGCCGGACTCCCCCCCGGCATCCTGGCCCGAGTGCGCCATGGGAGAAGTCCAGGTAATGCGCCAGTTTTCCACCACCACTACCATACGTAGGACGGGGAGGATGGGGAGGTCCTCCTCCTCCTCCTCCTCCTCCTCCTCCTCCTCCTCCTCCTCCTCCTCCCCCTTCTCCCTCTCCTACCTGCGGTAGTGGTGGTGGAAAACAGGCCCGTCCCCAGGGAATCGGTCCTGAGGGAGGACGACCCCGAGACCTCGGCCTTCTGCACGCCAAGAGGCTTGCCTGGGAAGCCCCAGGAGGCAGGAGAGAACATAATCGAATCGATAAGTCAGATCTGAAATCGAAGTGAAGCGGATCGGCGAACAAAATCGGCAGCCGAGTCGAGAAAAGGCGAACCGGCGGAAATCCGCAGGCGAGTAAGGCCTCAGGTGAGCGGAGCCCAGGCCAGACCCGAAATCGAATCGAGTCAGAATCGGACACCACCGAAATGGAATCCGAGCGAGCTAGGGAAATCCGAGCCACGACCCGAACGCCACTGAGCAGAAGGAGGAGGAGGAGGAGGAGGAGGAGGAGGAGGAGAAGGAGAAGGGGGAGGAGGAGGAGGAAGCCCAGGAGGAGGAGGAGGAGGAGGAGGAGGAGGAGGAGGAGGAGGAGGAGGAGGAGGAGGAGGAGGAGGAGAGGAGGAGGAGGAGGAGGAGGAGGAGGAGGAGCTCTCTGGTGGAGGGGCGGCACGCCTGCCCCCCGCGTGCGCGTAGTGCTTGCGGCCGCTCGTGGCCACCTCCAGCAGCGGCTTCGCCTGCCGCAGCCGCCGCGCGCCGCGGCCGCGGCCGCGGCGGGCACTCTCTCGGAGGCAGCGGACTCTCTCCTCCTCCTCCTCCTCCTCCTCCTCCTCCTCCTCCTCCTCCTCCTCCTCTCCTCCTCCTCCCTCCTCCTCCTCCTCCTCCTCCTCTTCCGCGGCGAGGGGGCTCCCGGCGGCACCGGCTGGGCGACGGCGGCGGCGGCGTCGGTGGCGACACCGCCCACGAGGCGCACGACGATGGCGGCGACGAGGGGCCACGGCGGCGCCACAGGACGACGACGGCGACGACGAGGGCGCCGACGAGGGCGACGACGAGGAAGACGATGACTGGCGCCAGCGGATGACGACAGTGAATGACGACGACGGGCGACGACGACGACGACGACGACGACGGCGACGAATGACGACAACGGACGACGATTGACGACAACGGACGACGATCGACGACGACGAATGACGACGACTGACGACGACGACGACGACCACGACGACGACGACGACGACATGCGGGAGGATCAGCAGCAGAAGGGGGAGGACGAGGGATGCAGGTACTTGTTTTTTTTTCAAGAGGGGGAGGTAGGCGGGGAGGGGAATGAAGGAGCCTGATGGAAGAGGTGGCAGGTGCAAGGAGGGAGGAGGTACGAGGGAGGCGGGCGATTGGGGGAAATGAAAGGGGGGAAAGCGGAAAGGAAGGGAGAAGGACGCAGTGAGCGAGGAGGGAGAGAGGGAGGGCAAGCTACGTGCGAACGCGCTCCATTCCTGACATCCTACCCCTCCCATCCGTCCCTTCCAAGTGCGTTGCTGTATCCGCCGTCGCGTGTCGTAGCGGACCTGGAACTCCAGAAGACCCCGTGGTGGCATGCGCAAGCGGAAAATCAGCTAAGTACATTGGAGGGGGGGTGGAAAATGAGTCGAATGAAGAGTAGGGGAAAGGGGGATGATGAGGAAAAGGGAAGACGAGGACGAACAGCAGCAGCTGGAGCTGGAATCGAAGGAGCGGGAGGAGCAGAAGAACCAGGGGAAGGCGGAGAGGGGAAATTTGGGGGGGACCATGATGAAAAAATACTCGGATCCAGAAAATCGCCACGGTAGCCGGTCACCATAAGTTCGGCTGGTGCCCTCGCGCGAGACGAAAGGCAAAACGGCAGACGCACTGCCAGGTGGGCATCCTGGGACGGCCCCACACACCCCCCAATACCACCTGGGCAGAGCACCAGCCGAACCAGGAAATGGGGCTGGGAGTCTGGGAGGGCGGGCGAAAAACCAATCGTTTTTCCACTGTCGCCGCGCTTGCCTTGTCCAGGCAATCCGCGGCGACCTGTGGACGTCGTCTCGCCGTCTGGCTTGCTGGCGACCGACCCCCGTCGAACGTCTGCGCCGAGTCGTGCGGGTCTGCCCCGTCCAGGAAGGGCCCCGCCCGTTGTCCAGGGACTGCGGCTGCCGAGTGCGTTTGCCTTATCCAGGCAGGGACCTCTTCCTTATCCAAGAACTGCGGCTGACCTTGGGCTCGCTTTGTCCAGGCAGGAGCCCGTCCCTTTCGGGAACTGAGCGTTTGCCGCGCGTGGGTTAACCTTGTCCAGGAAGGGATCCGTTCCTTGTCCAAGAACTGTGGTTGAGTTTGTGGGTTTGCCTTGTCCAGGCAGGGACCCGCTCCCTATCGGGGAGCCGAGCATTACCTCGTGGATTTGCCTTGCCGAGGCTGGGAGGCGAGCATAGGTAACCACACGTGAACCCCACCCCTGCACGTCGGCTAGGGCCCAGATTCCTGAGGATGTCTGCAGCCAAGCGAACCCCAGCAGGGGTGTCCGGAAGCCCAGCGTCGACTGGACCCACAGGTAAGGAGTTCGCACGTGGTCGCAGAGAGCATGGACGGACCTCCCATGCCTCCAACTCTGTCTCTTTCGCTGCGCCATCCTGGGCATCGCCTGTCGACAACAAACTGTCGCTGTCAAAAGGCTGTCGACAACAGGTGAAACGGGTACAGTTGGATGTGAGCCTACTGAACACTGCAGGAAAAATTGAACAACTTCGAAGACTACGGGAGCGCCCCTCAAATCCAGTGTCGCCCAGTTCGCGGCCCTCGTCATACCAAACACTGCCTGGCAAACGCGGCCGCTACTAGGGGGAACACAAACCTAAACCTACCTCGCTTTTGACCACCCTCGCTTCCAAGAGATACCAAACGATGCCAAACTGCAGCCTGTACTGGTCAGGCCGCTTGACGAGGAGGCGCGTGGTATGGCTTGGTTTTGCCTGGAAGCGAAATCGGGGTAGGTAATGCACGCTCTGAGCTACACTTCGCGAGTCTAATAGGTTCTAGTCTCACAGCCACCGTAACTCGGCGCTAGCTGACCCAACAAGCCCTGGCCTGCGCCTTGTTCCATATCCGCAGCGGGTCTGTCCGTGATGTCGAATGTCAGTTTGTGTTGTTTCCGGTGGCCAGCGCAACACCGCTGCTGCAGAGGGAAATTATGCAGCTCCTCGCCGTGGCTATCGCCAGCCACACAATCGTCTGATCTTCCGTCGCCTGCCATGCCATCGTCTTGTCTCAGAAGCGCGACGGCAGCGATGCCGGACATGGCGAAGATGGCGAAGTATATGCCGAGCATTGCATAGTAGGTGAACCTGGACTGTATAAGCACCCCAAACATCGTCGCAATGACGACCTTCAGGGGTCTACCAAAATGTTTATAAAATGGCGGCGTGCATACTGAACCCACACACAGAAGCTGTAAGCGCAGCCAGTGAATAACATTATCATAACAAGGCAATTCTGCGAACACTATTGGACGCATTACCAAAATCCATCGGAAACGCCCCACCAAAAACTTGGCTCCGGTTTCGGTGAATGTCGTGCGTGCGAAGCGAAATAGCGCAATCTCCTGCACCATCTAAGCCCAAATCACGCCCAAATGAGTCGGGCCCGGATGCATCTGGGCTTGTCCGGGGGGGAGCTGTGGTTGTCCCGATGGTTGTCCTGCTCTTTATCCCAATGATTGTCTCGATAGTTGTCCCAATGGTTGATCCGATGGTCCAGATAGTTCACCGGATGTTGGTCCCGATGGTTGCGAGGACGTTTGCCAGGATATTTATCCAGTCAGATGGCCGTCCCGATGGTCGCCCCGATGGTTGCCCCGACGGTCGCCCCGATGGTCGTCCTGATTCTTGCCCCGAAATGTATCCCGAGGGGTTGTCCCGATGGTTGACCCGCGGTTGATCCGCTGTTGTCCCGCTGTTCCCCCTTGGGTGTCTCGTAATTGTGACACGGTTGTCCCGTTGCTGTCTCGTGGTTGTCCCGCGGTTGTCCCGCGGTTGTCCCGTGGTTGCCCCGTGGTTGTCTCGCGGTTGTTCCTCGGTTGTCGCGTCGCTGTCCCGCGTTTGTCCCGCTTTTTCACTTGGTTGTTCCATGGGTGTGTTTTGCGGTTGTTACTATTGTCCCGCGGTTGTCCTGTGGCTGTCCCGCCGTTGTCCTGTACTTGCTCCGCGGGTTGTCCGACGGTTGTCGCGACATTATTCTGTGTTCGTCCGGTGGTTATCCCACGGATGTCACGTGGTTGTCCCGCGGTTGATTCGTGGTTCTGCCGTAAATGCACCGTGGTTCTCCCATGGTTGTGGTTCGCGGCCCGCGGTTGTCCCGCGGTTGTCCCGCGGCTGCGCCGACGTTGTTCTGTGGTTGTCATGTGGTTGTCCTACTACCCCCCCGCACGCCGCTTGTTACTTCTCCCGACTCACGGATCGCGACGCTACGGGTGCTTTCTTGGGCGCCCGAGTTATCCGGGGTAACTCGGGTCCGGGGTAACTCGGGTTTGGATTCCCGAAAAAGGAACCCGAGTTATCCCTGACCCGAGTTACCCCTGATGATTCGGGGCTCTGGACGCCCGAATTATCCGGGGTAACTCGGGTCCGGGGTAACTCGGGTCTGGATTCCCGAAAAACGAACCCGAGTTATCCCTGACCCGAGTTACCCCTGATGATTCGGGGCTCTGACTTTCCGTCATCCGCCGCCCCCATGTGGTCTTGCCACAGGGGTGCCTTGCGTGCTGAACCCTGCTGGCTTCGTTCTGGCCCTTCTCTTGGAGCACGGGCTGCGCCCCGGCGCGCCACCAGCGTCTCCAGAAACGGCCGTAGGGATATCCTGAACCGATCGGGATCTTGGGGATCCTAGCCCAAGACGCCGTATGGTAAGAATGAGCGGTTTGCACGAGACGTCCCCGACAAAAATGGCGATGTTGAAATATCGATGGCCTCATCGTCGGACCTTCCAAAATGACCACCTCGCAGCAGACATCTTCAACTAAAATGCAATGCTGCAAAATAATGGATCGAAGATAGACCGGAGCGCTCTCGGATGACCTCCAAGATTGCCCATAAAACAACAATGTTGAAAAACCCAACGGTTTTCTTCACGTCTGTTCAAATGCAAGCGTTTTGGAGTCATCGTCGAGCCATCTTAGGCCTCTTGGGCCGTTCTGGGGCCATCTTGAAGGCATCTTGGGCGATCCTGGGCGATCTTTGGCTCTTGGGCCGTCTCGGGCCGTCGGGAGACCGAACATAAGCAAATGCCAAAATCTTTTAAACACCTAAGGAAAATCAATGATGTTTGCCTCTTCGGGCCTTCCTCGAAGACCTCTGGGAGGTCTCATGGGCCGTCTTGGAGGCCTCTTGGCCCTTCGTGGAGGCTCCGCCTCCTCCTCCTCCTCCTCCTCCTCCTCCTCCTCCTCCGCCTCCGCCTCCGCCTCCTCCTCCATTTTCCTTCTTCTCCCCATGATCCTCTTCCTCACGTGTTCCCCGCAGAGTTTCAAGGACGGCTGGGGGAACACACGGTCCGATAGCTTGGCCAACCTCCAGCTCAACTTTCGACCCCGGAGGCGTTTCTAGAAAGGCAGGGGGCGGCGGTGATTCGCCGCAGGCGTCTTCGATATAGACACGTAGATCGAAACCAATTGCCCTAGCCAGCCCAACCAGCCAGCCCAACCAACCAGCCACCTAAACAACTCAACCGGCTCAACCAGCCCAACCAGCCACCCCGCAACCCCAGCCAACCCGCCAACCCGCCAACCCGCCTCCCCCCGCCGCCTGCCCTCCGTCACCGTCGAGAGGGGGGGGAAGTGTTTCTTACAAGCGAAAACCACAAAAATCACCCCCCCGGGGTACGGCGGGTCAGCGGGGGGAGGGGAAATCGCACCGTACTATGGGTGAGCGGGATTCGCGCCCGAGGTGCCCAAAGACGACTTGGGGCCTCAAGTGCGACACTGTCGTCATTTTATTACCTTCACCGCGCTCCCCTTCTTAACGGAAAGGCTCCCATCCGTGAAACTGTCGTCATTTTTCAGCTCCCGCGAGAGGCTTCTTAGAGGCCCCCAAAGGCTCCAGGAGGGCCCGTGGCGGCCTCGGGAGTGCCTAGGAGATCTCCGGAGGGCCCCAGGAGGACCCACTCTGCACCTCGCCCCCCTTCTCAACGGAAAGGCCCCCATGCGTGAAATTGTTTTCATCATTCCGCCCCCGCGAGAGGGTTCTGAGAGGGCCCACGGAGGCTCCAGGAGGGCCCATGGCGGCCCCGGGAGGGCCCACGAAATCTCAAGAGCCCCCCGGAGGACCCATTCTGAATTACACTCAGGGAGCTCCAGAGGGCCCAGGAGGCTCCAAGAGGCCCCAAGAGGCACCGAAGAGCCCAAACAGGCCACAGGACCCCCAGCACGCTCTAGGAGAGCCAAGGCGACACCAAGAGGCTCCAGGACGGGCGTCATGCCCTCTCCTCCTCCTGCTCGTCGTCGTCATCCTTCTCCTCATCCGTCCTGCTTTCAATCATTCCTCCCCCTCTTCCTCCTCCTTCTCCTCCTCTTTCTCCTCCTCCTCCTCCTCCGCCTCCTCCTCTTCCTCCTCCTCTTCCGCCTCCTCCTCCTCCTCCTCCTCCTCCTCCTCCTCCTCCTACCTCATCCGTAGTCTCGAAGGCTCCGATAGCGCCGTGCGCGAGATCCGCCTCCTCCCCATCCGTCCTCCTCCCTCCTCCCTCCTCCTTCCCTCCTCCCTCCTCCCCTCTCTCGGGAGCGTCACAAAGAGGCCCTCCGAGGAGAATTTCACGACAACAAGGGCGCCGACACGATGAACAGACACCACGTCGGGGCTCTGGGGAGTCGAAGAGGAAACCTCTAATAACGTAATCTTCGATGTTCGGGGCATTTTTCTGACCACCTGCGAGCCTGGCGCAAGCACACGAGTGGAGGAGGAGACACCACGACGCTCCACGGAGTAAACTGCACCCTGTTGGTTTCTACCCCCGTGAGGGGCGTTACAGGGTACATAGATGAATGTGTATGGATGGGTATTGCGAATCCGACCCAGGGACAATCACATACCAAAATCCGCAACATTCCCCTTCAAACGCCATACCCCCCGAAGGGTGTTCCTGTAATGATAGGTTTGTCTGACCCCAGCCTGAAACTCAATCCAACTACTCGCCGCAATGATGTAGGGTGACGATACAGCGGCTGTCTTGACGGCCATCTGGAACACGAGGGATACGGGCTCTGCGCGCTCTTCGTTCAGGAGCACCGCGGGACTCGTGAAGAGAACATGCCCGCCAGCAGTCGTGAGGGCTCGCAGAACACCATAGAGGATAACACCGCCGACCATCACCTCGGAAGCGAGCCTGGGGGGGAAGTGAGAAGGGGCGGGCCCTCTCAGAAGGCTCGGTCCCCCGGCCTTCCGATAAATTTCGTGGGCCTTCCTCGGAGACACCAAAAACTTCTCAGAAGTCGCGAGGGCGTCTGAGAAGTCCCGCCACCTTCTGAGAAGGCCTTCTCCTTCTCACTTCCCCCCTTCGCTCGCCGCCGATCACCTTCACAAAAATGCTCTTCTCGAGGACGAGATCAGGAGAATGCAACCCTCCAACGAAATCGAACCACACTTTCAAAGTCTCCAAGAACTGACCCGCCATGAACGGGAATAATTCCGTCTGGTAGAACGTTTCTGCCTTTTCGAAGCGATCTTTTCCCCCGAACATAAGAATGTCGCCCACACTGAGCATCTTGCCCATTGCTGATCCAGAAACCATCGAAGCAAATAGCTGCATGGTTTCCTTCTCGGACGTCATCACGCGGTCCTGCCCAGGCATTATGGCGAAGAGGATGACAAAACAACCGATTGTCAGAAGCGCGTCGAGAAAGATGTGGACACAGACCACGGCGGTAGCCATGAACGAGATCCTCCTCTGCTTGCGAATGTGGTTGCCAAGTCCACTAACAGCGACAAGCAATTGCACCGCAGCATGTAAAAAGAGCCACGCCGAATGCGGGTTGGAATACGTAACAATAAAGGCCCGGTCACCGCCTGCGTCGTTCCATTCATCCCCCCATTTCTTGATCTGTAAATCGCGAATTCGCTGGCCCAGGGGGCCGGGCCACACGCGTGAGAGACCTGGGCCGGTATGGAAACGGGAAGAGCGCTTCAGGAACTTGCCCGAGATGGCTCATGCCACCCTTCGCTCTGGAGAGCCTCGGTGTTAGGACCTTGTCACATCAACGCTGTCTGTTGGGAGCCCTGGTGTTCAGAGACCTTTACGCTGCAACTCGTTATTGGGAGCCTTGCTGCTAAGAACTTTCTACGTCACCGCGCTCTGGGGAACCTTGGTGCTAAGAGCTTGTTACGTCACCGCTCGCTGTTGGGAGCCATGGTGTTACTTGGCGTCTCTGGGGCTTCCGGGGTTTCTTCTTGGGGGCCCCCTGGCCGTCTTTGGGCCATCTGGGGCCGTCCTGGGGGCCTCTTGGGCCGTCTTTGGGCGTCTTCGAAGCATTCGGCAACCATGGGGCTCTCTTGGTGACCTCTTGGGAGCCTCGCGGGGCCGACTTGGGGCCCTCTGGGGCCCAATTTGGTGCCCTTTCTGGGCCGTCTGGGGGCCCTCGTGGGCCGTTTTCGGATCCGTTTCTGGGCAGCTGGGGCCGTCTTGGGACGATCTTGGGGGCCTCTGGGGCCGTCTTGGGTCGCTCTTGGCCCGAAAAGGCGAGAACATGAGAAACCCGCACTAACCATTGAAAAACATATGAATTGTGCATGTCCAGGCCCTCTTGGGAAGCCTTTTGGAGGCGTCCTGGGGCGTCTCGGGGCTCTCGTGGCCCGTCTTCAAGCGCCAGGAGGCCATCTGGGGCGGACTTGGGCTCTGTTGGAGCACCCTGGGGCCGTCCTGGAGTCTTCTTGGGCCCCCAGCCCTATGGGCTCTGTTCTTGGGACCCCGACCCCACGATAGCTTGCCCAAAATCGACCGATACCCCCCAGACTCCCCCCACCTGGCCACGGCATTCCCAAGGCTCTGGGCTCTGTTCTTGAGACCCCCGACCCCGCGACGTCTCGCCCAAAATCGATCGCTACTCCGCTCCATGCCCCCCCTCGCCCCCTCCATGCCTGGCCACGGCATCCTCCGGCCTCTGGGCGCTGTTTATGGAGACCCCCCACCCTGCGATTTCTCGCTCAAAATGGACTGGTACCCCCCTCCATGCCCCCACCTGGCCACGGCACCCCCAGGCTCCTGGGCTCTGTTCTTGGGACCTCCGACCCCGCGAACTCTCGCCCAAAATCGGCCGATGCTCTCCTCCATGCCCCCCCACCTGGCCACCGTCGTCGATGCTCTCTTCGGATTCGAAGACAGCTATCCAGCCTTCTGTATTTTCGCTACCGACGCATGGCTCCGCGCAGCGACTTCCCTCCGTTTGCGCTCTTGGCTAGCACAGCGCACGTTGCACCTCTGCTTCCCATCCGCCTTCTGCGTCGATCGCCCAGCCAACCAGTTGCTGTAGTGCTCCTTCCCGAAAGCGCCCTGACATTCTACACAATTCCACTTCCCGCATTGCAGCTTTGCGCCATCGATGCAGCACTTGCACTTGCGGTGCCGAGCGGCCACGCTTTCCCACATCCTAATCGAAAAACATTCACGTCGCTGCGCCACCTCGCACACAACGCAGGCCCTCACGTCCTCCCTCGCAGCTGCGTTGCGCTGCGCAGCGATGCAGCGCTTGCACTTGCGGTGCCGAGCGGCCACGCTTTCCCACATCCTAGTCGAAAAACATTCACGTCGCTGCGCCACCTCGCACACAACGCAGGCCCTCGCGTCCTCCCTCGCAGCTGCGTTGCGCTGTGCAGCGATGCAGCGCTTGCACTTGAGGTGCCGAGCGGCCACGCTTTCCCACATCCTAATCGAAAAACATTCACGTCGCTGCGCCACCTCGCACACAACGCAGGCCCTCACGCCCCCCCTCGCAGCTGCGTTGCGCTGCGCAGCCCCAGCGTTGACGCAGCGCTTGCAGTTGCGGTCACGATCGGCCGCTCCTTCCCGCATAAATTGCAAGAAAAACTCACGCCGCTGCTCCGCCTCGCGCACAGCACAGGCCTTGCATTCCTTCCTCGCCGCAGCGTCCCGTTGTGCAGCCGCTGCGTCTACGCACTGGGTGCAAGCAAGCGACGCTTTGGAGGCGTGCCCCAACATGTAGGCGGAAAACTCGGCCTTACTCTTCGACTCCCCACATTCTGGGCATAAAACCCGCTTTGCTGCTTCTGCGCGCGCCTTCTCCTCCTCTCTCTGCAACTTCTTACAAGATTTGCATGTGGGCTCGTCGTTCATCTGTTCCGCTTTGGCATATTCCACCGGTATCTTGTGCTCGCCGCAGCGCGAACACTTAAGGTGCTTCTCCAGCTCCTCGCAATCCAGGCACATTCCCCCTTGGCACCGGGCGTTCCCTGCCTTGCCCCACTGATGCGCCACGAAAGCTTGCTCGCACTTGCGCTCCTCGCACACATAACACTTTCGCCTCTCGGGACAGCCCACGCAGCGCCGTGACGTCAGCTTCGCGCAGTGGTGTTGGGAGGAGGGGAAAGCACCCTGGCTCTTCCAGAGTCCGCACTCCATGCACTGCCACGGCGTTCCCACGCTCTTCTTGTCTTCCAGGCACAGGTTACACACGCGCAGGCCGTCATCCCGACTCCACTGGCTCAGGCCGAACTGGTTCTTGTACTTCACTGAGGAGCAGAGTGCGCATCTCCCCGAGGGCATAAACTCCTTCTCGATGGCGTCCCAGTCCAGGGCGTCTCCGCGCAACGATTGCAAGAGTAAGGCGGGCCCCTTCCGTTCACCTTGGGTGCACGGCGCGCGGTCAAAGGCTCGGAATATCAACATGTCCGCGCGCCGTCGCACGCGCGTCAGTGCCACGTAGCTCGAGAGCGGCGACGTTCCCCCGCCGATGCTCAAATCCACGATCACACCTTCCTTGAACGTATGCCCCTGCGCCGCGTGGGCCGTCGCGCCGAAAGCTGGCGCCAGAGGGAACTGCCGTCTTTTGACTTTGAGTCGTGGATACGGGCGACCCTTGTCCACGAACCATTCCTTCTTCTGCGGCGTCACGGGGTGCAAACCGGGCGTGCTCAATCCCTCCATCGTCCACGTGCGCGGCTTCCGGCCGCCATTCCCGTCCTCGCCTTCGTCAAACAACACGAAAATTGCTTTCGGCGTCTTCTTCAATATGGTCTCTCCGCCGCGCGTGACCTGGTCATCTTCGCCGACTCCGTCGCAAATCCAAGAGTGCACTCCCCCCACGCGACCGCGCAGGAGGTTCTTGTCCTCGCCTCGATCAATGTGGTCGGCGAAGGCGACCGGCATGCCCTCTGCGATCGGCAAAAAACCATACAAGTCCCCACTCTCCTTGTCATGCCGCTGGAGCCACGCCAGCTTCTGGCGCGGCAAATCTGGCCGCTCACGCAGCGCCTCTGGCGTCGGAGTGTCCCGTGCAAGAACGTGCACCATCGGCTTTCTGTGTCTGCGCGCGTATTGCGACGCTCGAAGCTTGTTTGCCTCGCATTTGACGTCGTTGTTGGGAAACACACCCGGCGCGACAAGGAACTTCTCCGACAACAATCGTGGGTCGTCAGGGCCATCCACCACGAGCCGTCGCCGCGCCCGCTCCTCTCTGCGCACGCTGCACTCCTCCTGGCGGATCTCTTTCGGCGTCGCTGGACGTCTTCGTCGCTGCCCCGACCCCATCCGCGTTGCATCCCTCCTGGCGTCGCACAGCTCCCGACAGGCCCGACTTCCACAACCAACGTCCCCGTTCAGCCAGCTGCCAGTCACGGTTGTATCGCGACCATACAAAAATGCGTGCGAATCCGCTGACAGCGCCCCTCTACGGAACTCTTCTTGCACTTCCTTCAGCCAGGCGTCGTCGCACCTTTCGCACTCCTCCAACTCTGTCACGCCCTGAACGCCGCACTCGGCGCCGCCCCACAGGAGCGCTTGCCCGTCCAGCACGGGTGGCAGCGACGTGTACTTGCGGGCCGCCGAGATGCGCTCCGTTGGGATATCCGCAAGGAAGCCGCCGTCCGGGGGTGCCAGCTGCCAAATTCACCACTCAGCACGACGTTCGAACCGCCGAACGAGCGCGGCACGCCATCTTCGCTACGCTTCGTCGTCCCCACGTCACGGATGACCCCGCGCAGTTTCGCGTCTTCTTCTGCCAGTAGTCTGGCGCTCACCATGCTGATCTCGTCGATGAACAACCACCTCCACTGCAGCACGCGTTTCGCCGTCTCGTACTGCAACTTGACGTCCTCCCCCTTCACTTCACCCCGTTTGATGGCCGGAATACCACACGCATGGTGGATGGTATCGCCTCCCAGCAGCTGAGCCATGACGGCCTGCAGAGCCGTGATTTGGAAATGCACACCAAACCCCAGAGAACCCCACATGGAATCCTCAGGAATCCTCAGGAATCAATGACCTCATCGGAGTCATCAGGACTTCAAAAAGAATCCCGGGGGGTTCTCGGGATCCCCTGGATATCCCAGGACTACCCAGGAATGACCGAAAACCTTTAAGACTCCATCGTAATCCATAGAAATCCATGGGAACCTTCAGGAGCCATAGGGATCCTGAGGACCCCCCAGGAATCCCCAGGAACATTGAGAAATCCGCAGGAATCCACAAGAACCTACGGGAATCCGTAGGAATCCACAAGAAGTCGATGCAATCCGTAGAAATTCTTAAACGGACAGTGAATACAAACCAAAGAAAATCTGCGGAGAAGGACGACGAGGACTAGCGCAACGCGAACCTCCAGCATGGCCGTCCGACTGATCGGAAACACGTATACGGAAAAGCAAAACACGGTCAATCAAGCGCACTAAGCAACTGAGCTTCCCTGAGTTTCTCTGGGGTCGGCGGCAGAGGCGGCAGCCTTTAGATGAATTGTGCATGTCCAGGCCCTCTTGGGAAGCCTTTTGGAGGCGTCCTGGGGCGTCTCGGGGCTCTCGTGGCCCGTCTTCAAGCGCCAGGAGGCCATCTGGGGCGGACTTGGGCTCTGTTGGAGCACCCTGGGGCCGTCCTGGAGTCTTATTGGGCCCCTCTTGGGGATTATTTGGGCCATCTTGCGAGTGTATGGTGCCGTCTTGGGCGCCTCTGGGGCCGTCCTGGGGGGGAGCGCGCGTGTTAACGCCCAGTTGCGCACCCTTCCCTCCCTCCTCTGCGCTCCTCCCTGGAAGGCTTCGCCCTTCTGAACGTCATCACTCGTACCTCGCGCTTTCCGTCACCTGGGCTGGCACGAGAACGGAAAGAGCGTTTCAGGAACTTGCCCGAGATGGCGCATGGCACCCTTCGCTGTTGGGATCTCTGGTGATGTGTATAGTGGCGGGTTCCCCTTGAAGGCGAAGCCAACACGATCTCAACATTTTGGTATAGTGACGTTGTGAATTATGCGTGAGCATAAATATATAATGTTAAACATAAGTCTATATCGCGGACGGCTCAACAATGCATCAAGATAATCACGTGCAGTGTACATAGCACCAGTCTTCCACTGGAGGGTACAGAAACAGCGCCTCAGAAACTTGCCAAACATGGCTCATGGAACTGTTCGCTCTGGGGAGCCTCGGTGTTCAGAATGTGTTGCATCACCGCTCGCTGTTGGGAGCCTGGGTGTTAAGAGCTTGTTACATTACTGCTCGATCTTGGGAGCCTTGGTGTTAGGAGCTTGTCACGTCACTATGGACCCTTGGGAGCCTTGGTGTTCAGAGCTTGTTACGTCACCGTTCACTCTTGGGGGCCTTGGCGTGAAAACCTGTTTCACGCTACAAAAAGCTCTTGGGAGCCTTGGTGCGAAGAATCATGTACGCAATCGTTCGCTATTGGGAGCCGTTGTGTTTGGGGTTTGTCACGTCAACGGTCGCTCTTGGGAGCCTTGTTGTTAAGAGCTCGTCACGTCACTCTTAGCTATTGAGAGACTTGGTTGTCAGAATGTGTCACGTCATCACTCACTCTTGGAAGCCTTGGAAATGAGAGCGACATCCCTCGCTCTTGGGAGCATTGGCGTTAAGAGCTTGTCACGTCCGAGCTGACCCTTAGAAGCCTTGGTGTTAAGAACTTGTCACGTCACTGTGAGCTACTGGGGATATTGATGTTCTGAGCGTGTTACGTCACCGCTGGCTCTCAGAAGCCGTGGTGTTCACAACGTTTCACGTCACTTGGGGCTCTTGGCAGCCTTGGTGTTCAGAGCGTGTTACGTCACCGCTCGCTCTTGGGAGCCTTGGTGTTAAGAGCTTTCATGTCACTGCTCGCTATTGGGAGCACTGGTGTTACGAACTTGTCACGTCGTATCCGGGCCCGCTTGGGGGTCCTGTTGGGGCCGTTGGGATCCTTTTTGGGCCCTCTTGGGCAGTTTTGGTGCCCTTTTGGGCCGTCTTGGGGCGTCTTGGAGGGCGTTGGCCGTCTTGGGCTTTCTACGGGGCCTGTTAAGGCCCTCATGGGACCGTCTTGGAAACCACTTGGAGCTTTCTCGGGAGCCATTGAGGGCCCTCGTGGTCCGTCTGGGCGCCGTCTCGGGCCGTCTGTGGGCCCGTTTGGGGCGCCTTCGGGCCCTACTCGAGACCTCTTAGGCCGTCGTGGGGTGATATTTGGCGCCTCTTGGGCCGTCTTGGGCAGTCGGAAGCCCGCAAAGAGCATAACCAAAAGAGCCTTCAAAACACTTAGGACAACTCTTTGTGTTTTGGTGCTCTCGTGTACCGCGCTTGGGCCGTCTTGAAGCCTTCTGGGACCTCTCTTGGGAATATCTTGGGCCGTCTTGGGCGCCTCTGGAGCCGTCTTGGGGGGGGGGGGGGCGCGTGCTACGGCGGGGCGTGCCCCCTACGCCCGTCCCCTGGACCCCTTCCTAAAGGCTTCGCCCCACCATAACGTCATCACTCGTACCTCGCTCTTTCCGTCACCTGGGCCGACAGGGAACGGGAAGAGCGACGTCAGCAACTTGCCCGAGATGGCTCATGGCACCGTTCGCTCTTGGGAGCCTTGGTGTTCAGAATGCGTTGCAACAACGCTCGCTATTGGAAGCCTTGGTGTTAAGAGCTTTTCTGTCACCGCTCGCTATTGGGAGCCTTGGTGTGAAGATCTTGTTACGTCACTGTGAGCTCTTCGGAGCCTTTGTCATTCCGGCGTCCCCGAGCCTTCTTGGGGATCCTTTTGGTGCTCTCTATGGCCGTCCTGGGGCCCTCTGGGGCCGTCTTGGGGCAGTCGCCCCCGCCCCTGCCGCCCTGCGCAGATAGGCAACCAACTGTCCAAACTGCCAGCCACACCCACACCCTGCGAAATGCTTAAGAAATCATGGGTTAAGAAATTCATAGTCTCAGAACTTGAATAAAAACCCAACAGTTCCATCAACATCTTAAGAATTACATGGAAACGTTAAGAATAATCGAGACTCTGGACGAAAACTTAGGTTTTCTTAAGCATCGCCTAGGGTGCACTCTGCCAGTCACCCGACAGCCGACAGACCAATGCAAAAAATTCAGCCAATCATCCAGCAAGCCAACGAACCAACCAGCCAACCAGCCAGCTGGCGAGCCAACGAACAAACCACCCAACCAACAAACCAGCGAAATAGAACAATGAGCCCAAGATGATCCAGGCAGCACCCAAGAGGCTCCGAAGAGGTCCACGAACCCACCAGAGGCCCTCAAGTGTTCCCCAAGATGCTCCTGACAAGCGTCGATGTGCTCAAATGGTGGCAAACACCCAAATGTTTGCGTTGATTGCGACCCTCTCGAGTTTGGGGTTCCGGAAGTGGAAGCTCGGTTGGGACGCGTTCCTGTGAGTTGTGCATTCCTTCTGTGCAGTGTCTGTTTCTCCTCCACGCGACCTTCATACGACAACTTGTTGAACATACCGCCATCCAACAATGTCAGAGTGCTCGCGAGCGTCCGTGCAAATGACAACGTTGATGCAAGATGAGCTGGCGGAATGCGCGAAGCGGCTGGATCAATGAATCTATAGTTTCGGGGTTTGTCAACCCGAAGGGGCCGAGAGCCGGCAAACTCTCTTTTATTGCCCGCGCATGTATGTCTGCAGAAAGTCGCCGAATGCTGACCTGCATCGCAGACAGATCCTGGAATTGTCGTACATCTTGCACCTTTGTGGCAGCGAAAGAACTCGTGGCCAAAAAATCCTTGAGTGTGGTCACTTTCTGAATACGCCTCTGGGCAGCGGGGCATCTGTCATCTCCGAGTCTCTTTTTCAGTAACGCGGCGGATTTCTTCTGGAAACAGCGGACCTCATCAGTTCTTGCCTCTTCCACCTTGGGGTACAGAAGATGCACAGAGTGCAATTCGGGATGTTCCTGCATGACTCTGCTGTGTAGGTCGCGATCAAAACGCATTTGCATTTGAACAGTGTATTGGCAGATGGATGTCTGCGCGACGCCACGGAGCGCGACAAAAACAGATACTGCTGCACACGGCAAGCCTCGCCATAACGCATTGCGGCGACGGAGTTCTCGAACGTCGGGAGCTCCCCCCTTGACGTAGTCCTGTGCTTGTGTAGCGACCAGGACTGGAGTGTCCAAATCGCATGCGGCCAACGCACTGAGGACGAGCCGGTTGTCACGGTAATAATACATTACGCCCAACACGTTAGTAACCAAGATGCCACAAAGACCAACGATGACCGTAATGAACCAGAAGCTGGATGTCGAGGCCACAACCGCGGGGCCCTCGACGTGGGCCTGGACCTGCAAATAGATTTCACGCAGGATTGAAAACCACTGGTATAGCCAAGCCCACATCAAGCAGAAGAGGTCGGCATAACTCAATACATATGGAAACATAACGCCACCGTGACACCTGTCACGTTGAGGCGTGGTTGACTGCCAAGTGCTGTCAGGCAAAGCCTCCGAAATCTTCTCGGGGACACCGCACCTCCCGTCCGCAATCCTCTGCGTGCATCGTCCCCTTCCCTCCCGAGGATTCCTGGGCTGATTCACGCCTTCCCGAAGCTCTCCAAGGCGTCCACAATGCGCAAGATGGCTTCGGATGCGGCCCAGGCAAGTCACCGAAATCGCAAAGACGTTCCACGATGCCTCCACGACGGCCCAGGATGACTCCCAGACGGCACGAGGTGACCCCAGGACTGCCCAAGAGGCTCCGACGCCGGCCCAACAGGGCCTCAAGAGAACCTCCAGGAGGGCCCGAACAGGCAAAAACAATTATTGCCTATACACCCTGCGAAATGCTTAAGAAATCATGGGTTAAGAAATTCATAGTCTCAGAACTTGAATAAAAACCTAAAGTTTCCATTCAAATCTTAGGATTTACATTGAAACATTAAGAATAATCGAGACTCTGGCCGAAAATTTAAGTTTTCTTAAGCATCGCCTAAGGTGTAGGTTGGGGCTGAATTTCGAATGCTCGCCTTGTCACGCTTCCGTGAGCTCGAGACGGCCAGGAAGACCTCACACGGCGGCCCAAGGGAGCTTCTTAGAAGCCCAAGAAGCCACCAAGACGGTCTCAGGATTACCCCAACGGGCTCTAGAACGGTCCAAAGACGGCCCCAAGTTGGCCCCAAGACGGCCCTTGAAACCCAAGATGGTCCCAAGACGGCTCAGAGAGGCCCCCAAAACGAATTCCGGAAGCACCAGGCAGACCAATAGCGCCCCCAGACGGCCAAACCCCAAAAACCTTCAAGGCGCCCACAAAAGAACCCAAGAGGCCCAAAGGGACAACTCCTCCTCCTCCTCCTCCTCCTCATCATCATCATCATCATCAGCATCATCATCATCATCATCATCATCATCATCATCATCATCATCATCATCATCATCATCGTCATCATCATCATCATCACCATCAGCATCATCATCACCATCATCATCAGCATCATCATCATCATGATCATCATCATCATCATCAACAGCAGCAGCATCATCATCATCAGCAGCATCATCATCATCATCATCAGCATCATCATCATCAACATCATCATCATCATCATCATCAGCATCATCATGATCATCAGCATCAGCATCAGCATCAGCATCATCATCATCATGATCATCATCAGCATCATCATCATCAGCATCAGCATCAGCATTATCATCATCAGCATCAGCATTATCATCATCATCATCATTATCATCATCATCATCATCATCGTCGTCGTCGTCGTCGTCATCATCATCATCGTCATCATCATCATCATCATCATCATGATCATGATCATCATCATCATCATCATCATCATCATCATTACCATCAGCAGCAGGAGCAACAGCAGCAGCAGCATCTCACCGTTCCAGCGTAGCTACCTTCAAAATTATGGTCATAGTCGCCAGCATTACCAACATCAACGCGACCGTCGCCATCAGCCTGATCATCATCGTGCTCATCATCAGCATAAGCATCAACATCAACATCTTCATAATCATCATCACCATCAGCATCAGCATCAACATCATCAGCATCATCATCAACATCATCAGCATTATGGTCAACATCATCGTCGTCACGATCAGACTCATCAGCATCGTCATCATCAACATCTCCAATACCAAATGTTAGAGAACATTACATGATACGGTTCCCCCAAGCCTCGGAACAAGAGGCATCACGCATCATGGCCTCCCGCGCTCCCTTGCACAACCGCCACCGAAAAAACTGAACTTGCACGGTGACGGATATTGCCGCAGGCTGCCAGATATGTATAAGTAACTCGGCGAGAGAGAACCGGAGATTAACCACCGGACGTATATCCTGAATAAGTAAAAACTTCTTTCGAACCAAACCGGCTGCGGAAGAAGCAGGAGGGGCAGGACCATGGTAAACCAAAGATGCATCAACGTTGCTGCAAGACACCCCCTTGTCCTAACTCCCCCCCCTCCATCAGCCCCTGCAAACATTTGTTCAGCAGGCCCTGTCGGCATGACCCGACGACTTTTTCTGACAAACATGAGTCGCCAGCCCGACGAGCCAACGGCGTGTTAGACAGAGGTCCACGAACCAGCCTCCAAAGAGGAGCCTCCGCCAAGATAACACTGACGAAGACGGGAAAACGGTTCGCAGGGAAAGCCAAGGACGACGAAGAGGAGAAGCAAAATGAGAGAAGGGAAAGGAATACAACAACGACGAGAACGAACATGCTGAAAAGAACATTGCATGCGATGTCCTAATAATTCGATAGACATATATATATATATATAGAGAGAGAGAGAGAGACACATATCTATGTGTGTTATAACCTTAAAATACAAAGACATGTGAACTACGTTTGAGGGTTCGCGAAGTTTCGCCTCAAGTCTTGGTCCTGCGTCCACATTTGGGGGATTGCCGAAAGTCTCATGACCAGTAGGGGGATGCTGGCCATGGGCTGGATGGACCCCACAGGCAACTTCATGTCATGGAGGGAAGGGCCTGGTTGCCACGGGGGCGCAGGTGTAAACGCCATGACAACAAGCACGGCGCACGTCGTGGAAGCGGGGCCTGGGCGGTGGCCGCGATGCCGATGACATGGAACGCACCGATGAGGTGAACGCTAGGTGGGTAAAAGGTCTGTGTGAGAAAGGCATGGCCGTGGTCAGGGGCTGACATCATGACCGGGAAAGTGTTCTCGGCGATGCGGAGGTCATGGAAATGATCATGCGGGGGCGGTGGTAACCGTGGATTATTGGCAAAAACACCGTGGGCTCCCAGATATACACCGTTAGGACGGCGAACCCCATGACCGCGAGGGGGGTCGAGGTCACGTCGGACTCGCTGTACACAAAATGTCGAAGAAACGTTGACCTGGCAAACGGGACGACTTCCACGCATATGGAGAACATGTGTACGCCCCCGACGATTTGCGCACGTCGGGTCGCTGGCCCCCATCCCTTCGACGTCTCTCCAGGGACTTTATATTTTTTCGGGGGCGGCCAAGAGGGGGGTGTCCAAGAGGGGGGGGTGCAAATCATGACCGGCGGCATGTGCGCGGCCCAGCGGGGGGGCCAGGGACGTAATGAAATAAGAAGAGGCGCCATGAAATCTGCGGAAATTTCATGGCCCCCGCCATGATATCCCCCCCCCCCGTAGTCATCACCCCCCTCTTTGCCGCCCCCGAACTGCAGTTTTATCCCACTCTCGAGCTCCCCGGGATCGGCTTGCCATCCATAACCACTGTCAGGCGGCCCCGGGCCCGGAGGCGGCCCTCGGACACCGAAACTCTCAGAGGGCCGTCGCCGGGGCGGCGGTCGTCACCAAGGGGGCGGGTAGCAAGGAGGAGTGGCGAGATGACCGCGAGGTGGGTCCAGGCCGCGGTGCAAAGGCCAATCCCACAGATGGAAGTGAAAGCCGACGCGGGCCGGGTGAGCTGTGAGGGGGCGACGCTGATGGCCACCCAAAAGGGGTGAAGGTCATCGCCTTGAGAAACGGTGACGCCACCGACCGTCAAGGGGGGCAGCGGGCAGTGGGAGCGCGAACGGGCCTGTTGTTTACTCTTCTGCATTTGGGCTCTCGTTTTGGAAGAGAACACGGTGGTCGCGACCGTCTGTCGTCTTCCTTCCCGCCGAGCTACCTCCTTCCTACCTCTCTTTGTTGTTTGTCGTATGTTCTCTATTACTTTATCTCTTTTTTTTTTTTTTTGTTTTCTCTCTCTCTCTCTCTCTTTCTCCATCTATCTCTCTCTCTCCTCTTCTCTCTCTGTCTCTCGGTTGTTTTGTCTTCCTCGCTCTCTCTCTCTCTCTCTCTTTCTCTTCCTCTCTCCTTCTATCTCTCCTCCTGACTCGTACCTCTTTCGCACCTGCCTCCAGGCTCGCCAGTCCTGCGGGGCTGTGGCATGCGAAAGCGTCGCCTCGTTCGAGGGCTGCTTGGGGGGGGCAGCGGAGTCACGTCATACGCGGACTCGGACTAGACCTCGCCATCCCCGGGGGGGGGGGCGATCTGCGAAACAGGCGTCACGTTCGAGGGCTGGTGGGGGGGGGGGGGCGAATGCAGTAACGCCGACTAGACCTCGCCATCCACAGCGGGGCTGCGATCTGATCAGCTGCCGCCACTATGTAGGGCTGCGGGTGGTGCCAGCACACTCACATCATACACACTTTCAGATTCGGCCTCGCCATCCTTGGGGGACTGCAACTTGCGAAGCTGTCGCCGGCGTCGAAGCTTGCTGGGGGGACAACACAACGTCGCCATACGCGAACTCATACTAGACCTCGCGATCCCTTGGGGGCTGCGATTTGCGAAACTGC